TGAAATAAATATATATGTAATCATATCAATACTTTCTGGCCATGCCACAAAACCAATTCAACCAACTATTTTTGATGTGATCACCATTGAAAACATCCTTCGCACTGCCTTTAATAAACATTATTGTTGGATAAGAACGAATTTTCATTTCACGCGGTAAATACGAAAATCGTGTACAAAGAAGTTTTCCTACTCGCATATTCAGGCCATGTAGTTCCAGAGCAACTTGCCCGAAAATTGGCTCCGTGTGTTTGCAGTAACCACACCATTGTTCGTAAAATATGACCATCGTCCTTCCAAGAAACGATTGGGTGTGTGGTTTAGTAAATAATGGCTAGCAACTTTAGAAGCGGCTTGCATTGTGAATTAAGTTTTATATTTATTGCTGGTTTCATGAATAGCATTACATCAGTTTTTATACCCGAACGCCCTTGTGCACAACGGTATATTAATTTTGTTCACATAACGGTTGTTTGTAACAGCCAAAACGAATCGAGATAGATAGAGACAAATGTATACATAAATGCTCAGAATGAATAGAGAAATCGATTAAGCCATGTCTGTCTGTCCGTCCGTCTGTCCGTCTGTCCGTCCGTCCGTGTACACGATAACTGGAGCAAAAATTGAGATATCTGAACGAAATTTGGTATTTAGGTTTCCGTTAATCCAAGGTAGGTTGGTATTGAAAATGGGCGAAATCGGACTGTAACCACGCCCACTTCCCATATAACGGTAATTTCCAGAAATACGAAAACTGCGATATTTTAGTAACTACTGAAGATAAGTCACTCAAAATTGATATTTACAATAACTTTAAGACGAAAAATAAGAATATTATAAACTTTTGGAAAATGGGCGTAGCCACGCCCACTTATGGTTACATGTGTATATCTTGGTAACCGCTGCACCAATGTCTTCCAAACTTGGCACAGTTATTGACCTTGATACAGTATACCAAATTTCAAAAATCGGACAATAACCACGCTCTCATCCCATATAACGATAATTTTCGGAAATACGAAAACTTGCTTGGTTTCTTTATATTAATATGGGAACCGTCAATAGCCCCTATTA